CTGGGCCTCCCTTCTGAAGCTGCTGCCCCCGCGACCCGACCCCGGATAGGCGGAAGAAAATGGATGGATGGATGGATGGATTATGCACAGTTTTATTTATTTTTTTACTTTTCTTTCTTTTGTATTTCTGATTAAAACTGTTTTCCACCTTCTAACTGAGAAAAACACTCAGGTGAGGAGGAGGACAGCTGTGTTCCCTGTGTGATCTCTGTCTTCAGTCCATCCCAGACCACTAGTGGCAACTCTACCACTTAAGAGTCCTCTGGAGCGGTCTTAACTTTTCTTGAGAGTAAGAGTGATTCTTAGACTTAAGAATTTTGATAACTGGTACTTACACTTAAGTCTGAGAGTAGGAACAAATCTAAGAATTTTTCAGCTATTAAGTCTAAAAATCCACTCTAAGAAGTTTGATAAATACAGTCCCAGATCTTTCTGTCTGCTGTTGTGTCAAATAGTCACCGGAGGGCAGTCCAACTTATGCTAACACAACAAACCTGAGCTCTGGATTAAACTAATGAAGCTGCCCGCACTCCCATCTGACAAATTTTGAATATTTCATTGTGCTGCTAAGTAGTGGTTGAGCAAACAAATAACAGGTCATTTATGCATATTTTCATGAAGGGTTGGCTTTGTGCCAGTTTGCTCAATACAGGTGAATAACCAGATTAGCTTAGTCTTCACCCTGTTGTGTTACTCAGTTTACATTTATTATTCCTCATTAATTAGAAAATTAACATTATTTGTCAGATCATTTTGATCTCTGGTTGAAAAAAATCTTATGTAATAGATGAGACTTTTTATAAACAGAGGCCAAAATAGAATATTTTTTTATCAAAAAACTCTTACAATTTTTTGCATTCAAGGACTTTTTTTTCTGCTGCTGCTAACATATTTTTTTCGGTAAAACAATGACCACATTGGAGTTGCGGAATTCAGTTTTTTTTATGTAATTTTAGTTTCTTATTCAATTTATGCAGAAAAATGTGGGTTAAAAGTAGTTAAACTTGCACAATTTGTTGTGTCACTTATGCACAGAATTATTAGTGTTTCACATAATTTCACCTTATCTTGCAAATGTAAAACTTTATATAATGGGAAATTTGCTTACACATCACCAAGATTATTTTATTGATCCAACATGTGACTTAAAAATTGTCATTTTGACTCCCCTATCCATTACATCACCTTAACGTTCTTTTTGTAATGTCTCCTGGAGCCTTCTGAGAGACGTAAATGGAGGAATGAAAAAGGCATCACTTTCCATCTTTTGTATGTATGTATGTAGATATGAATGTATGTACACTCACCGGCCACTTTATTAGGTACACCTGTCCAACTGCTCGTTAACACTTAATTTCTAATCAGCCAATCAC